GACAGAAGAACAGCTAAACAACCTGGAATCAGCCAGAAATAAACCCAATACCATTCGCCAAACGTGTAGTCTGATCTTCAGAGTCTGACCAAGTCGGACTGAGCCATAAAACTGCCGCAATATCAAGTTCAGCTCAGTTTTGTCAGTTTTTGCCAGATCAGTATTAATGTTGTTTTGTTCCAGCCAGTCTGTAAAGCATCTTACAGCCCATTTAGTTTGGCGAATGGTGTTGGGTTCATTTCTGGCTGATTCCAGGTTGTTTAGCTGTTCTTCTGTCACAGCTGCCGACTGAAAAGCTGCTCAGTGGTGATGACAGTTTGGGAATTTAGTGGGAGGAGCTGGAGAACGAAATGCCGGCTGTGCAGCGAGTGGGCGGAGCTCGTTAGTCTGACGTAGCAACAAGCTGCTGGTTAAGGAACTGTAATTTGGTGAAGGAACTGCGAACATTAAAACATATTAAACGCCGCGTTCACGGCCCAGTTTATTAATTTATTACTGTATTTATTTAACTGTTGTATAAAAGCAAGAGAACACTCGAGGTCATGTGTTATCACCTTCGGCTCGTGCCTGCGACCAAATCACAGCCGTGATGTTATTTCACGATAACACGCTCCCTCTCGTGCTCTATTGCTTAAAACTGTACCAAAGAAATGCATATAAATGGTTTAAGACTCAGAAAACCCCCCTTCTGATGACGTATCTTGAAAGTGGGAGGAGCTTTTGAAATATTTTCTGCTAACTGATGAATGCAGAAAGAAGCCAGATAGCTAACGTTGCCACTAAGAATATCAAATCTCCTCTAAATCAGTGGATATCGGTTCGGTATTGTGGATATAGGTTCACAATGCATGCTGGGTATCATAGTGAGATGAATAACATAAAAAGGATACAAAATTGTGAATTCCATCAAACTGATGAGACTGAGGGATAGCAGAATATTGCATGACGTGACAAATAACATGTTAAACACTAGTTGTAGGACCCTTTAAAATCATGATTAGCATGTAAACACCAGCTAGTCATTGCTAATTCGTCTAGAAGGTCAATTTGAATCAGCTCATGATTAAAAAGTACACAGACAGTACTGTGAAAAACTCAGAGACCACCTTTTATTTATTTACTTTCCTGGCAAAACAGCCTCTAAATACATGTTATTCATTTTCAGGGAATATCTCTGAGGAGATTAGATATAGAGGAGATAGTCCACTTGCATAAGAGAGTCAAAGGAAAATAAATTAAAAAAACAAGAGTTTCCAAAACTGGAATTCAGAAAATGATTAAAAGGTACAGAGAAAATGTGACTCCTAACAACCACCTGGAAGACCTGGTAGACACCAAAACTGTCCCCATCAGATAAACAGCACTTAAAGCTTTCATCTTTGAGAGAGAGGAGAAAATCAAGCTCCACTCTCCCTTCAAATCTGAAAAATAGCCTGGAGATTAAAGTTTATGATTTAGTTGAAAGATTATGAGAAGTAGAAAGTGCAACCAACTTCTAAGACTGAACTTTGGAGGTGTGTCTGCAGATTTCATAGAAAAACTGAAAGTGAGTCTCCTGAAAAGAACAGAAGCAGTGGACACACTAAATACTGGAAAAATGATGTTGTATTTAGCTGTTAGGCTTCTGTGTGATTTTTCTCTTATGCTTTGACCGGATTAAATTAAAATAAAAGTGAAGGATGGTCTGTGACTTTCGGTCAGTACTGTATGCAAAGAGCCCAGAGCAAAGTCAACAAACACTTGGAAGGAGCTTCTCATCTTCAGTAGGACACACACTTGAGTGAGCACACATGTACCGTCCTCTAAAAACATTCTGACACACACTCAGGCGCACACATCATTCCAGACGTGCCACATCTGCCCAGCGGCCCAACACCTGTCTCAGGGCAGCGCTGGTTCTTACTCACACAGACGCGCTCCACACAAACAAGCCGGGTTCTCTTTATTCGCCTCTCCTCTTTATCACAAGAGAGTAAAAGCTGTTTCTTCTGCAGCAGTGTGTGTGTGTGTGTGTGTGTGTGTGTGTGTGTGTGTGTGTGTGTGTACGGGCCTTCAGTTACACCTCAATCCCCCGCATACACACTATATTATTGTCTACAGCTGAGTTAGCAGCGCAGTGGAGATTTTTTAGTGTGCTCTGTGTGTTGACTCAGTCTCAAAGTGTCCAGGTCTCCATCTTGACTCCATCTTGTTCAGGTCTCAGTCCCAACTTGGTCTAGAAGTAGTGCTCCTTTTGTGGAGGCTAAAAGCTAATATTAGTGTTAGGTTCCTAACTGGCTTTACAAAGTAAGAATTATAAAATAGTTAACACCTCAATGTACCTTTCTCGTTTACATTCTGGTACAGTTATTGGTGATAATAATCCTGGATGGCTTTATCCTCACCTGGAAGTAGTGTTGTAGTTAAGATCACTAGAGGTGAGACTAAGTCAAGACGAAGGCCTGGACACTTCAAGACCGAGTCAAGACTGAGACCTGGACATTTCGAGACTTAATCTAGACAGAGACCTGAACACTTGAAGCCTGAGACTGAAATCATAACTAAGACCTGGACACTTCAAGATCAAGTCAAGACCAAGACCTGGACATTTCAAGACCATGTCAAGACTGACGCCTGGACACTTTAAGATCAAGTCAGGACCAAGACCTGGACAGTTTGAGACAAAGTCAAGAAAGAGACCTGGACACTTTGAGACCAAGTCAAGACCTACACCTGCACTCTTTAAGATTGAGTCAAGATGGAGAACTAGACACTTTAAGACTGAGTCAAGACCGAGACCTGGACACTTTGAGAGCGAGTCAAGACCGAGACCTGGACACTTTGAGACAGAGTCAAGACCGAGACCAGGAGTGACGAGGCCAAAACAAGATTACATCTTCTCAAAATATAAAATAAAAAGTCAAAAGGGGGAATAAAACTGGAATTCATTTGTAGTTGTACATGTTCATTAGACATTATGTATTGTCAGGGCGGGCCCAAAACACACGTCCTGTGCGTGCCACACTAAGCCAGCCCAGGAGTCATGAGCCCTGCCCACGGTGCTGAAGGTGAGGCAAGGAAAACACTTCAGCACTGCTGTTATGGACAGCAGATCGCACACACACACTGATGAGACTCCAGCTGCACCTCATTCCTGCGACAAGAGACAACTGCTTAAACCAGAGAGCCCAGACAGACAGGGTGAGCCTCGCTGGGCTACAGACCCCCGTTCTCACCCTTATGTTTTTTTCCCTTTGGTGTCTCGCAGACAACTAAGCCACTACTACTGAGAAAAGCCTCGAGAAATCAAAGCCCCTGATACTGCAAGACCAGCCGCCTTCGCTCCTGCCACTCCAGAGCTCTTCTCAAGAAGATATTTCTTTTTGTTTCGTAGTGGGGTGATTCTAGCTATCCCAGTCTTCAAGTTTTGTGTGAAGTTTTTTTCTCTTTTCTGTTTCCTGCCAAGCTCCTTTGTTTTCTTTGTTAGGCCTTTACGGCCCCAGCCTGAAGTTGGGTTGAAGCCGGCTGTTGTCAATATAAAAGGCCCACTGTTGAGCGTGCCAACCTCAAACCTCGACTCTTTCTGGTGTGTGTTTAGCCCCTCAACATATTAATACATAATACTATGTAGTGTAGCAAGAAGGGTGTGGGTTCGATTCCCCGACCAGGGCAGCTGGGGTCCTTTCTATGGGGAGTTTGCATGTTCTCCCCATATCTGTGTGTGTTTCTAGCTGCTCCAGTTTCCTCCCACAGTCTAAAGACATGCAGTCAGGCTGGTTAGAGACACTAAATTGCCCCTAGGTGTGAGTGTGTGTATCAATGTGTATGTCTGTGTGTCTGCCCTGTGAAGGACTGGCAGCCTGTCCAGGGTGTTTCCTTCCACTCAGTGAGGGCAGGGATAGGCTCCAGCAACCCTTGTGACCCAGGAGAATAAGCAGCTTCGATGATTAGTGATGAATCTTCACTGAATTTTGGAACCAATGAACATCAACAAACAAATAATACCCAGTTAGATTCTCAGCAGAGAACAGATTTTATTTAAACCTGTAAAGAAGAGAAAGAACTGTTTTATTCTGTCCGATCAGGCATAACATTCTGACCACCTCCTTGTTTCTATGCTGATTGTCCATTTTATCAGCTCCACTTACTATATAGGTGCACTTTGCAGTTCTACAGTTACAGACTGTAGTCCATCTGTTTCTCTGCATACTTTGTTAGCCCCCTGTTCTTCAGTGGTCAGGACCCCCATGGACCCTCACAGAGCAGGTACTATTTGAGTGGTGGATCATTCTCAGCACTGCAGTAACACTGACGTGGTGGTGGTGTGTTAGTGTGTGTTGCGCTGGTCTGAGTGGATCAGACACAGCAGTGCTGCTGGAGTCGTTCTGTTTTAAAACATTACGTTATGAAAATGTACAAATATGTACTCTTCACCTGAAAAAACTTATTTAGGGTACATAGTTGGAAACACTGAAGGTACATTTTTATTGTTTGTACCGTGATGAATGAAAAGTGTACCTGCACAGAACCTTTATTTCTGACAGTGAAGACAGAGGAGAACATTGCTGAGTGGCCCTGTTGGTACCAATCTTGAGCAACAAATACCATAAAACTGGAACCTTCAGTACTGGACCGATGACCAACGGAAAAAGCACAGGTCCAGTTTTCAGGTCCCAAAGGTTCCAATACTTGGAATAACAGCCTAAAGGTCACTCCTGGGTCAGAGTAGAACTGTGATGTTTGCAGAATGGTAAGTGGGTTGTGTGTTCTCTGAGATTCAGAGGATTTGGAGTGAAACTGAGATGCGACTGAATGCGCTGCAGAACTGATTTGCAAAACATGGACAAAGTGCCTTTTACCGCAAAGTTCAGCCGCGAACTGACATACACGCTTTCCAATTTCCAGAAGCTTCCAGAGTCTTTGATCTCGCTCTCATGAAACGTTAATTCAGCTGCATGTTTTTCATACTAATAACCCTCCCTCTCTCGCTCTCTCTCTCTCTCTCTTTCTCTCTCTGACAGGGGTCAAGTTCAGTGGCATGGCTCAGCAGACGAGGGAGGTGAGGAAATACACTTCCATCTGCTTTACTTTACAAAGACCACCCGTCATTTATTTAATTTTCAGTCAAAACAGCCATTAAGTACAAGTTCTTAATTTTTCAGGAGATATTTCTGAGGAGATGAGTCTAGATAATCCACTTGCTCAAACATCTGATATTAGATTTAGTTGTTGAGGCTTCGGTGTAATTTTCTTTTAAATATATTTTGTGCTTTTTTGATGTTGATAAATAAATTGTACTTGATGGCCATTTTGACATGATATTATGGTCACAGTAAATTACGTCACAACATGCTTTTCTAAGGAAGTAGCTGACTGGATGTCAGTCCTTTATGCCAATATCTTCCACTCACTGGCCACTTTATTAAAGATACCTACCTTGTACTTTGACTCACTGGCCACTTTATTAAAGATACCTACCTTGTACTTTGACTCACTGGCCACTTTATTAAACATACCTACCTTGTACTTTGACTCACTGGCCACTATACTGGAAACACCTACCTTGTACCTTGACTCACTGGCCACTTTATTGGAAACACCTACATTGTACTTTGACTCACTGGCCACTTTATTGGAAACACCTACCTTGTACTTTGACTCACTGGCCACTTTATTAGAAACACCTACCTTGTACTTTGACTCACTGGCCACTTTATTAGAAACACCTATCTTGTAGTTCTAGTCACTGGCCACTTTATTAGAAACACCTACCTTGTACCTTGACTCACTGGCCACTTTATTGGAAACACATACATACCTACCTTGTACTTTGACTCACTGGCCACTTTATTACAAACACCTATCTTGTAGTTCTAGTCACTGGCCACTTTATTAGAAACACCTACCTTTTGCTTCCACTCACTGGCCACTTTATTAGAAACACCTACCCTGTGCTTTCACTCACTGGTCACTTTATTAGAAACACCTACCCTGTCCTTCCACTCACTGGCCACTTTATTAGAAACACATACCCTGTGCTCTCACTCACTGGCCACTTTATTAGAAACACCTACCCTGTCCTTCCACTCACTGGCCACTTTATTAGAAACACCTACCCTGTGCTTTCACTCACTGGTCACTTTATTAAAAATTACCTAAATTATTAAAAATACCTACCTTGAACTTTTACTCACTGACCACTTTATTGGAAATACTACTTTGTAATTTCACTCACTGGCCACTTTATTAGAAGCACCTACCTTGTACATCTACTCAGTGGCCACCTACCTTATGTGACCACTGTACAGATGTACAATTCAGGCTGTAGCCCAACAAGGCTGCTATTGTCCAGATATTATTTGGATTGTGGTCCATTCTCAACACAGCAGTGACACTGACATGGTAGTGTTTATGTGGTGCTGCTATGAGTGTATCAGACACAGCGGTGTTGCTGGACACACGTCTCTGTCACTGTTGGGTAAAAAATATCCACCCAAAAATATCAAGACAAGAGTGGCTCTGTGGTCAGAAACTGACTACTGATGAAGGACTAGAGGAAACACAAACAAAAAAGAGAGGGGTTTCCAATAAAGTGGCCAGTTTTTGCCACTCTTGCCCATCATTAAAAAAAAATCATTCCTCCCCTCATCTCCAGATTTACACTCATGTCACTTTGTCCTCTCGCCTCTCTACTCCATACCCCCTCCTCACCCGTTCCCTCCTCCTCTAAAATGACCACTGTGTCCAGCAGCAGTGATATGGTCATCAGCAGCCTAGTTTTAGTATCTAATCACCCGACCGCTGTCTCATTACAACCCCGTCCCTTGGTTAATACTGCACTTATGATTATTCAATTCACTGCCTTTATTGCGCCTTAAATGAGCAACAGAATTGATATTTGCCTGAGGCACTGAGGAACTGGACACTACGATTAAACGCGCTCGTTTCAGATCGGCTCTCATGCAGCTGTATTATAACGCAGAGTGGATCAGCAGTGCAGCTCACAGCAGGGCGTTTTGGAAAGTTTCACTTGAGAGCTGAGAATGAGGAAAGAAATGGTGAAGCTGCGCCATCTAGTGGCTGCATAGAGACCAGCAGCTTTGAGGGTTCAGCTTTGTTCATAATCATCTGTCTAGCATTACATATTATACTATTTATTTAATTAACTTCAAGTCAACAAGGCCAAAACGTAATTAAGCTTTTAACAGATAATTACACATAGGCTTCAACAAGTAAACATAATATCAAACTGTTTAGTGTGTAGTGTGTCCACTCTTCACTTACTACAGCTTCCATTCTTATTTTCAGAAATCTGCAGCCACACCTCCAAAGTTCAGTCATAGACGTTGGTTACTCTTTCTGCTTCTCATAATCTAAGAAATCCCAATTATAAATTTAGACTCCACACACATCTCCAGTTTTAGGCCCAATTCCATTTCTTATTTTTACCCCTTGTTTTTGAGTGTCACCTTGCCCCCTTGAGTTGTTACCTTGAGTTACAGTGGGTAGTGGTTGAAATCTTCCCTCTGAAATGGGACCCTCAGATAAAAAAGAGCATCACTTCATTAACAGCTACCAGCGCTGCTCTGTAGGCGACCCTGCCAGTCTGCAGTGACAGCAGAGGAGGGTAAAGTTCAGCTCCTCACTGCTGGACTTTAGTTACATCATATGGGCATCATAGGGCATCATATACCTTCTGGGGGTGGGGGGGGTTATTTATTATCACCCACCACTAATTCTTCAGTGATATGAAGTTGAAGTCAGCTATTCGCCAGCTTCTTGTTCGAATTTCCTATTCCACCAACAATTTTGCAAAATTACTTAATCATTCAACCGTTTAGATGTAAACAAAACCATTCAGAGTGGTTTGGCTTGAAAACTGCCTTTCTAAAGAAATTTACCGAGTCAAAATTGCGTCGCATGGTCAGCAAAACTCAGAGCTTATGTGAGTAACGTTATTCATAAGAGGAGCTGCGACAGACCACATTTGCACTCGCTGTCCTGCCCCGTAAACTGGTGAGCAGAGTAGCAAGTAGTTTGTCGTTGACACTGTCAATTTCCATTCACCCTGGGTTCTTCTGCTTTGGTGCCGGTGTTATATCTGTATCGGTTTCCCCTCAAATTCACGTTCCCTTTGACAAGGGACCTCGGGGGCACGCATTCACTGAACAACGGCAAACAACACTGGACTATAGAAAGTGAAAAGGTTAAAAAAAAAAAATTAAACAATGTCTCAGGTATCAAGCAACACATTTATAATCGTTTTGTGTAGTAACTTAACGGGACGTAGCTTTTAGACCCATTAAATGCTTCAGACGTCTGGTTTGTAGTACTATAATAGTGAACAATTTTGACTTCATAAATTTGAATGATTAAGAAATTTTGCAAATTGGTGGAGTTCCCCTTTCAGTGGTGCAGCAGTTACATTCTGGTGCCTCAGGCATCAGAACTGCTGAACAATTTAAGCTGGAACGGGACATTTAGCTGGCTACCGAGACGTTAGCATACTATTAGAAGTTTTTTTACGCTCGTACTGAAGAAAAGAACCGAAGTACATTGAAAAGTCATTAAACTAAGACAATATAATGGCTTTTGTATTTTTTTAATGTAAAAAATTCTCACCTTTGTGGGTTTCTTTGGTCTCTTGCTCAGCCATCTTTCAGCCGGCTTTTCTTTTTTTCCTCATAAGACTCTGTTTGGAGTGTGACTCTGAAAAACCTCTGTTTGGAGGGCCATGTAGCCCTGACACTTCACCCACAATCGGGACAACCTACCCCTAGACGTGAACACGCAAAACTGAAGCATAAGGGCTAAGTGGTCGGGGCGAGGGGTGAAATGGGATTGGGCCTTAGTGTTCAAATGTTCTTTCCTTTTCTCAGTGAGGCTTCTTGACATCTACACATCCTTTCAGACCTGTAGTGCTGGAAGACTTTACACTAGATGATGGAACATTGCTGTGAGGATCTGATGGCAGCCACAAGAGCATTAGTGAGGTCAGATACTGATGTTGGATGATCAGTTCTGGATCACTCCATCCCAAAGGGATTGGATGGAGCTCCATCACTCCTTAGAACACAGTTCCACTGCTCCAGAGCCCAATGCTGGGGAGCTTTAAACCTTTCAAGCCCACTCTGGGCATTAAGCATGGTGACCTTAGGCTCACATGTGGCTGCTCAAGGTCATCCCATTCTATTGGTCAGTGCTTTTCCAGAGAGATTATACAAGATGTACTTTAAAGGAGCTGAATTCACTGATGATGTTGGCACTACTATGTTTACAAATAGACCTATTATTATTTATTCTGTCACACAGGAGCTCTGTGGTCAGCAGGACAGTGATGTTGCGGGCAGTGCTGCTGCAGCTCAGATGGTCAGAGGAGTCAGGCATGAAGAGCCGAGCGCTGACAATCCTGTCTCGCCCATGCAGTTCCCTGCCTTCGACTGGAACAGACCAGCCCCCACGCCCGGCTCCCGCGAGCACGAGCTGGGCCAGCGGGTCACCAAACGGCACCGCAAACTCCTCAAGACCGGCCCGGTCATACGGTCACTTTCCAACTTCTCTTTGTCATCCTCCTCACTGTCGGACTCCATGCCCGAGAGCTGGCGGAGGCTCTCGCGAATCCAGGAGGCGCGACGGCGCCTGATGAAGGAGGTGTGTGCCAAATATCGCAGCAACATCTCCCGCACCGTCACACCCCACCACGTCAGCCGCATCTACGTGGAGGATCGTTACAAGCTACTGTACTGCGAGGTGCCCAAAGCTGGCTGCTCCAACTGGAAGAGGGTGCTGATGGTGCTGGCTGGAGTTGCCTCGTCCACCCGCGACATCGGCCATGACGCCGTCCACTATGGCAACCACCTGAAGAGGCTGGACAGCTTCGACCGACAGGTATGGGTAGAAGAGTACTGGTATGACATTGTTCAAAGAGAGGGATTGTATTATAATCATATATAACAATATTATGATAATTCTATATAATAATGTCATTAACAATATAGAGCATTACAGGGCTTTTTAAATGAAACAATAGAAGTCATATCGCCCCCTACACTTCCTGTAATGTATTACAGTCTGTCAGAGTGACTGTGTGGATCATATGAACATTATAGAGCTTTTTAAATGAAACAGTAGAAGCCATATCGCCCCCTACACTTCCTGTAGTGTATTACAGTCTGTCAGAATGACTGTGTGGATCATATGAACATTATAGAGCACTTTTATGTTGTCAATGACTAAAAATCTTTGTTCTATTCCTAACATCCCAAATCATTATTTTTTTGTAGTATTAATTATTAATTGGGCTGTAGTCAAGAATTAATTACATAACTAATTACATTACGATACTCAGTAATGACCAATGAAGGAATTGCTTATAGGTAAATTGTGATATGTATTTCTTCCATGATATCAATCATCCACCTTTACTGGCAGGGCATCACCCGACGCCTGGACACCTACACCAAGGTCCTGTTCGTGCGGGAGCCCATGGAGCGGCTGGTGTCGGCCTTCAGGGACAAGTTTGAGAGTCCCAACTCCTACTACCACCCCGTCTTCGGCAAGCCCATCATCTCCAAGTACAGAGTGAACGCCTCCAAGTCGGCCCTCAGGACGGGCAGCGGCGTCACCTTCCAGGAGTTCATTCGCTACCTGCTGGACGTGCACCGGCCCGTGGGCATGGACATCCACTGGGAGCCGGTCAGCCAGCTCTGCAGCCCCTGCCTACTGGACTACGACTTCATCGGCAAGTTCGAGACCATGGAGGAGGAGGCCAACTTCCTCCTGCGCAGGACAGGCGCCCCGAGAAACCTGACCTTTCCCACGTTCAAGGACAGGAACCCCAAAGCGGCCAGGACTTCCACACACATCACCCAGCACTACTTCACACAGCTCAACGCCTCGGACAGGCAGCGGGCGTACGACTTCTACTACATGGACTACCTGATGTTCAACTACTCCAAACCCTTCAAGGACTTGTATTGAGGCGACGGTCTTCTTGGCTGCGTCTGTGCAGTATAAGCTGTAAAGGACTGCTGGCACGTTACAGCTATACAGTGTTTCTATTAGTAACTCATGCTAACTGTTTAAAACTACCAAGCTTTCTGCTACATTGGCACTTCATAGCATAATACACTCAGATTACATTGAGAGGATTGAAACAGATCAGGATAGACCTGCTAATTAAGCTGGGATTTTAATGTATAGTTAGGCAAAAAATCAAACGTGCACAGTTTTCCCTCTTGTTGATCCGGCCAGACATGTTTTGCTTGCTTCTTTGGGTTTGCACTGGAGCTACAAGGCTAATGTTGCTAGTCCATGTTCATACAGTGTCTCACGCAGCGTCAGAAACCACATAAGCAAGACTCAGAACAGTCTGAGGCAAGTGTGATCATTCAGGCATACAGTTAGCATGATGCTAATTGCAAAATCCAGAGAAAGTCATGCCTCCTTTAGCTTCTGTAGCTACATCAGTCAAACCTTCAGCTCAGGCTATGTGCTAGCATCTTTATATTTGTGCCAGCAGGTAGCCTGAAGGTTTCACTGACGTAGCTACAGAAACTAAATGAGGCATGACTTTCTTAGAAATTTGTAATTAGCTTCATGCTAACTAAACTACCTGTTTAGTGCAGAATGGGGCTTAATTTGTAAAAGATAAGGTCCTCGAACATGGAGTAGTGACGGATCTGGCAGGTTGATGGAAAATAAGGTTTTAGCAAGTACAGTAACCCAGATAAAGCTAGAGTTCAACCCAAAATCAGCTTCAGGAAACAAATAAAAACAGCTCCACCCTCCAGATGTTCAGGGTAGCATGAGTCAGTTACTCACTAACACCGTTCTACCATTTTTAGCTGTGAATTCAGGCTTATTTACTGCCACCGCCGTTCTCACAGCAGGTTTGTTGTGAGGAGCATTGTCACAGTGCAGTCTTTGTTTGCCAGAGGAAGTAACACTTGGAGATGATTGTGATTGGCTGATAGGTGTGTCAATCATAATTTGGCAATGGTCAATTGGTGTAGCTTCCATTACGCAGCCACATTAGCCTCGTAGCTTCAGAGTAAAAGTAAAGAAGCAAGCATGACTTGTCTGATCGATACATTTGGGAAACTGTGGCTTTAACTTATCAGATGCACTTGAAACCCAAAAGAACTGATTCTCTCCTCCAAACACACTTCATTTCACACACCAAAAGTAACACACCACTCTTTAGAGAGCACGTTACACACATCCATGACGCCTTTACCTAAACTGCTATTTTAAAGTATAAAAAGAAAAGTAACTATAATATTCAGAATTGTAAAAAGGGCATTCAGAAGACTCTATATTTTTATATGTATTTGTATATGGCTTTAGGTGTAGCTGTGTGTGTGGATGTCTTCATTCAAGGCCGTTGTTGATTTTGTAGTAGGGTTTCTGAGTGTGCGTGAAGCTGCCATCTTTAACGTTATGGCGTTTTCCCGTTTGTAATGGACTGTGTAAGAAAACCTTCGTTCAGAAATGGAGACAGATTGTAGATCAGAAATGCCCTCGGTCAGATGACAGTTCTACCTGGGATAATCCATGTTTTCAAAGACGCAGGGTCCAAATGCTGTCATTTAATTCCAAGTTATACCATTATTATTCATAACCCTTGGAAGTCTAGCGTTATTACAGTCATTTTGCTATTTTCTTACTATTCCAATGTAATTACATGGTTATTACATAGTTATTATAAAGAATTACATTTATTTACTTTATTTACAGGTTTAAATCTAAACATTTGGCTTTTTTCTGTTTGGTTTCATGTCAAAAATGTCAAAAACATCTGTTGGAATATGTTTCCACAAAACAAGACCATGAACAAAACAGTAATTCAAATCATGATAAAATCCTTCTCTTCTGCTGACAAACATGAATTGAAAGTTTAGAAACTTTTGAAATTTCTTCTTTTTTTCAATGAACTAGGGAAAATAATTAATGTAAAATTACAGTATGCTAGGCTTCTAAGGGTTAACCGTCTTTATTGATTAGATGACCTTCTGTAATATCTCTTCAGTGAGAAAAACAAGACCATGAAACACTGTTTGATTGACAGCAACTACATCCCATAATAACGCTCCACCTTCTGAGTAAGCCTTGGGTGATTAGGATCTTGATAAAGGGGCTAAAGGGGGAGATTATCCCAGTTTGGTGGATTTATGAATCCAGGCACTGAAATTCAAGGCTATAATGTGAAACCCCAGAGTCCTATTAAAATCGTTTGTGTGTGGGTGTATGTGTTGGTGGGGCCTGACGGAGCCACCTCAGTCATGGTTATCAGTCATATACTGGTATTTATAAATCATCTCACACTCTTCCGGGATGATTCCTCATTTATTAATCAGGATTTTGGGGACGAAAACTGATCTGAGATCAGCGCTGCTGTTGTGCACACAGGCCTGCAGCTGAGGGTGTTTTACAAAGCAGGATTTCTCAGCAAAGCTGGATAATTTAAGCCTAAAGTGAAGACCTTCCTGTAAGAGTGTCCATGAGCTCTTCTCCTATTGGACATGCATGTGTGTGGTTGATTACTACAGTCAATCATTTCAACACATTTCCTTGTACTTAGAAAAGAGCAGGAAATATACTGACTCAAAATACAGTTACAATGGAAGTCAATGGGCAGGTGTTCAATTCTGCAAATAAATGTTTGAAATTCACAAACACAAAATATGAATTTCAAACTACTTTACACACCAAATATGATGCGAATAAATGATGCTGCGTTTTTCTGTCTGAAATGTTGTTAAATAATTGTCATCCAATGAATCACACAAATAATGGCCATTTAGAGTTTAGAGTGTAACGGCCATTAAAATGAGACAAACATGACAGAATGTTTCATAAAAACTTTCCAAGCACTGCTCTTATGGCTGCTAATACCACCCCCTTGTGAAGAATATTCAGCTTGCCAAATGTGAGTGAGTGAGTGAGTGAGTCAGTTAGTTAGCCAGTCAGTCAGTCAGTTAGCTAATTAGTTAGTATGTTAAGTAGTTAATTAATTAATCACCCAGTCAGTCAAACAGTCAGTCATTCAATAACTAAGTTAACCAGTCAGTCAGTTAGTTGGTTAGTCAGTCAATCTGAAAGTCAGTCAGTCAATTAGTTAACCAGTCAGGCAGTCAGTTCATTGGTTGGTTGGTTGGTTAGTTAATTAATTAGCCAGTCAGTCAATCAGTTAGCAGGGTAGCCAGTCAGGCAGTGAGTCATTTAGTTAGTTCGTTACCCAGTCAGTCTGTTAGCAAGTCAGTCAGTCAATCGGCCAGTCAATCAGCCAGTTAGCTAATTAAGTCAGTTAGTCAGCTAATCAGCCAGTCAGTCAGTCAATCAGTTAGTTAGCTGGCTAGTCAGTCAGCCAGTTAAATAGTTAATCAGTCATTCAGTTTGTTAATCAGTCAGTCAGTTAATAAGATAGCTAGTTAGTTAGGTAGGTAGTCAGTCAGCTGGATAGTTAATCAGTCAGTCAGTCAGTTAGTTAGTTAAGCAGTGAGTCAATTACTCAGTCAGTCAGTCAGTCGGTCAGTTAGCAAGTCAGCAGTCAGTCAGTTAGTCAGTCAGTCAGACAATCATTCAGTCAGTCAGTTAGTTAGTCACTCAGTCAGTCAGTCAGTCAGCTTGTCAAACATTTAGTTAGTTGGTCAGTCAGTCAGTCAGTCAGACAGTCACTCAGTCAGTTGGTCAGTTAGTCAATCAGTCAGTCAGTTAGTCGGTTATTTAGTTAGTTTTACAGTTGGTCAGTTAAAGATTTCCAAGCGCCATCAGACTGCAAAAACTGTCCCCACACCTCCAGCCCAGTAACAAATGACCACAAATTCTTTCCTGTGGACAACTAGCCCCTGAAACAATAAATTAACTTTAACAATAAGGCTTAACTTTAAGCTTAAATGATCTGAGAAATCATGCATTGTGCCCTCTAGAATGTCCTCTGACTATAAGCTAAGCGTATTCTACTTATCAAAGAATGAACACTAACACACATAAATATATAGATTACAGTATATTCTTATTTTTCATTCTATTTTTGAAATGTTTGAAAAGCATAAAGCAAAGATACAGACCCATATCCTATATGGGCATATATGAGAAAATGGGTGCATACATTATATAGAGATATATATATATAGAAATATAGATATATAGATATATAAAGGGACATATGTTATACAGAAACATATTTAAAGATGGACAGATGTTATATTAGTGATGTGATGGTGTTGGAGATTCCAAATATCGTACTGAGTGTTGAACTGCTTTTACTCCGCTGCGTGTGTGTGAGAACTATTGCAGGCACTTCTTTCTTCTCCAAAAAACCGTTCCTATCGCCTCGTCGTCCCCTCCCTCCACTGAAGACACAGATCTATACGAAGACATTTGTAAGGTGAATCTAAAAAGTGAATGTATACCTGTCGTCGGTGCACAAATGTACAAAAAACCATCATCTAATGCCCTTTGCCTTATTTTTACACTGCCAATCAACCAGTGTGAATCAGGAAGACATTCTTCAGGTAGCTCTCTCTCTCTTTCTCTCTCTCTCTCTCTGTCTATCGCTCTCTCCCTCTTGCTCTTTCTTTCTGTTGAGTGTCTCTGAATAAATGTTTATGCATTTAGCTTTTACTCTTGTCTCCTTTTTATCTTGTTTATATCATATAAATGTTTATTTTCAACTGATATCCGGGATGCCACTGCAGGCCTGCACAGCCTACATGAGGCTGAAGGGTGATGAATCACAGGTGGTGTCTGTGTGGGCCAATGTTGGTGGTCTTTGCCATCAGATCACCTTTTTAAGGCGGTTGTTTACATATTTAGTAGAATATATGACCATTATTAAGAACAGACCTCACAACAATTTGCCTACAAGAATTTAGTGCATTATGAAATCTTAATATAGGAGAAAATACTCACACTGTCTAAGCCGTTTATCCTCCTGGCTTGGGGTGCTGGAGCCTATCCCAGCGGTCATTAGGCCGTTAGGCAGGAAACACCCTAGAGAGGTTGCCAGCCATCACAGAGCAGACACAGATATACACATTGGATAAAGGTATTGGGACACCTACACGCTACACCCACAGGAGCTGTTATGACATCCCATTCTAAATCCATAGGCATTAATATGAAGTTGATCCCCCTTTGCAGCTATAACAGCTTCCACTCTTCTGGGAAGCGTTCTACAAATTTTGGAGTGTCTGTGGGAATTTTTGTCCGTTCATCCAGAAGAGCATTCGTGAGGTCAGACACTGATGTTGGACGAGAGGGTGTAGCACGCAGTCTCCGTTCTAGTTCATCCCAAAGGTGTCTGATAGGGTTGAGGTCAGGGGGCCAGTCAAGTTCTTCCACACCGAACTCACCCAGTCAGGCCTTTATGGACCTTGCTTTGTGCACTGGGGCTCAGTCATGCTGGAACAGAAAAGGTT